TTTTGAGCATCCAATGTCAAACCTTTGAGCATCAAATGTCAAACCTTTGAGCATCAAATGCCAAACCTTTGACCAAACACAATAACCTGAGACTTTTTATCCTTTCCTTACTTGACTATCTCCCAAAGATAGCTTGGATCTTGGCAGTTGTCAAATAGCTATAATTTATTGAAGGATTAACATTGTAATTAATTCTTTGATATCCGATGAACTCTAGTTTTATGATTCGTCTCAATTGTAAAACCGTGATAGGGGCAATATTTTTAAAACTTTGGATCAAACATCTTTCAAAACTCTTTTAATTGATATTTTCATAACTTTGAAAATAAAATAGAAAGAAAAACATTTTTTTCAAACAAGACATTCTCTTTAGAGTGGATCTTGGTAAATGACATGTGACTCTTAGACATAAAGCTCGTGCTCAAAATCAATGATGAAGCAAGAAATGAGGAACATTTTGGGCATCTTTGAAGATTCAACATCAAATATTGGGGCATTTTTTGATATTGGGGCATCTTTGGGGATTCAACATCCTAATGCAAATTATCAGACCTTTTTCAGGAGATAAAATATAACCAATTCATGTTACATGCATCTTATGCATACATTTTAGAGCATCATATCTATCATTTTCTTTCCACGTACATAATTTTTACAGCTTTAGAGTCAAGTTTAACTTCACGACGAAGGGACCGCTGGTTGTCAATAAACAATTTTCCCAATTTTAGAGCCAATTTCAACTTCACAGCGAAGGATATTGGACTCCAGACAACGCAAGTTCAACTTCACGACGAAGGGACCGCTGGTTGTCAACAATAACTTCCCAATCTCAGAGCCAATTTCAACTTCACAACGAAGGATATTGGACTCCAGACAATGCAAGTTCAACTTCACGACGAAGGGACCGCTGCTTGTCAACAACAACTTTCCAATCTCAGAGCCAATTTCAACTTCACAACGAAGGATATTGGACTCCAGACAACGCAAGTTCAACTTCACGACGAAGGGACCGCTGCTTGTCAACAAAATTTCATTCAGAGCCAATTTCAACTTCACAGCGAAGGATATTGGACTCCAGACAATGCAAGTTCAACTTCACGACGAAGGGACCGCTGCTTGTCAACAACAACTTTCCAATCTCAGAGCCAATTTCAACTTCACAACGAAGGATATTGGACTCCAGACAACGCAAGTTCAACTTCATGACGAAGGGACCGCTGCTTGTCAACAAAATTTCATTCAGAGCCAATTTCAACTTCACAACGAAGGATATTGGACTCCAGACAACGCAAGTTCAACTTCACGACGAAGGGACCGCTGCTTGTCAACAAAATTTCATTCAGAGCCAATTTCAACTTCACAGCGAAGGATATTGGACTCCAGACAATGCAAGTTCAACTTCACGACGAAGGGACCGCTGTTTGTCAACAACAACTTCCCAATCCCAGAGCCAATTTCAACTTCACAACGAAAGATATTGGACTCCAGACAACGCAAGTTCAACTTCACGACGAAGGGACCGCTGCTTGTCAACAAAATTTCATTCAGATTCAATTTCAACTTCACAACGAAGGATATTGGACTCGAGACAACACAAGTTCAACTTCACAACGAAGGGACGGCTGGTTGTCAATAAACAATTTCCCGGTTCCAGAGCCAATTTCAACTTCACGACGGAGGATATTGGACTTGGAACAATGCTACTTACTTGGATTTCAACTTCACGACGAAGGATATCCAACTCAAAGAAAGATTATCTGCCATCAAAATTGTCGAGTTCGACTCCATTCAGCTCGATGACACATCAATCACACTACTTTCCGGTTGCAGTCGAGGTTTTCAAGGCGAGAAGAGGACCTGGGTTAGCCGTGCCTTAGTGACAAGCAACCATTTTCAAACAGCATAGCTTAAGTCAAGAAAAAGCTATCTGTCAATGAAGATTTCTGAGTTTGATTCCGATCCAAGGTCTTTAAACCGAGAAGAAGATCGAAGGGTAACGGGAAGCCACGTGCAGATTCAAATTCCGAACTACGGCTTTAATTTTATATCATTTCAAGATGAACTCGACTTCACGATGGAGGAGTCATCCGTAACTCAATTCGACAGAGAGTTATTGAAACATCAGAGTTAATTTTCAACTCCACTGAACGAAAAGTGTGTCTTTTAATCTTTGCCCTATCCCCGTTACACGACTATGGGCAAAGAGGGGCAGCTGTCAACACACATTTTTCGTCCTACTAGGATTGAAACTCCTAAAAATAGGATAGAATTTTAGGATTCAAACTCCTAAAAATAGGATAGAGTTCTACTATTATTTAAATTCCTAAAGATAGGATCCACAAGCACTATAAATAGCCATTGTAACTCACCATTGTAACACACGATTTATACACAAAACATAGAGGAAAGCACGGGAAGATACAAAGGCAAAGCTATTGTAAAGGATTCGAAAAGGAAATAAAAGGTAGCATTTTCTTTTTTCTTTCTTTTGCATGTGCACGTTATTTTTTTGAGATTTGGTTCGAATAACCCAAAACGTGGGTTGCGCCGATGACCAAAATGGGTGGGGTTTCGAAGTTTCGAACCTAGATCTACCCCGAGGCTTATTTTTAAAAACTGGTTTGATTTTCGGTTAAAGGAGGGAAAGAGCTTTTTAAAAATCTATATTAGTCCATTTATTTATTATATGGATATTTTATTCATTTATTTTTATTATTCAAGTTATTATTATAATATGTATATATATATATTAAATTATTTTCATTTGATTTTTTACTATATGTTATTATTATTATTATATATATATTTCTTTAATATTTTACTTATAAGTCTAATATTACTATATATATATTAAATTATCTTTATCTAGTCGTATATATTTTTTATACTTTTAATAGTTTATTTATATACATTTTATTAAATATATATATTCTTAATTATTTTTATTTGATTATTTCTTTATTTATGTAATATATCTTATAACTTTATATATTTATATTATTTTTTATTATTTTTCGTTTTTTTATTCATTATTATTATATTATTATTTTTTTAAAAAAACCTTATGTCTTTATCATTATCATTATTAAACATTATATTATATACTACCAACCTAGAGGGCCCATTTTTTGTTTTATTTCTTACTAGAGCCCCCCATTTTCGGTGAATTGGGAGGGTAGCTTTTCTATTTTTAAGTATTTGGTATACATATATAGCTTATTTATTTTATTAATACTTTGATATATATATATTTATATTTTTTCCTTTTTTCAAATATTACTATATATAATTATTACTTTACTATTTTTTCTTATCTTACTTACTTATTTTATTTATTTTATTTTTTCCTTGTATCTTATTTGTTTTCTTTACCTTGTTTATCTAACACATTTCTCGATTTTTTTTTCAAATCAATCAAGGGTAAGTAATTAGGATCGAAACTTTACCTTTTAATTTAACTTGTTATTTTTCTTAATTAAGACAACTGGAAATTACGTAGTACCGAAAGGGCGGTTCAAGGGTGCTAATCCTTCCTTGACCGTAACCGACTCCCGAACCCGACATATTTCTGGTAAGACGCAGATCAGGTAAGAAATAGGGTATCCGATCAACCCATTTATTTTTAAATAAATGATCGGTGGCGACTCCAATCCACATTTTTCAAGTCGAAGCCCAATTCCGGGGCCCAACCGAAAGACGGTTACGACAATATATAAATGCAATTAAAACAATTCATCCAAGAACAATCAAAAGCAAGAAAAAATCAATATATAAAAAAAGAGGAGGGAAAGAGCGAACCTGAGAGAGGAAAAGAGAAAGGGAACAGTGGGACAAGAGTGAAATAATTATTTAATTTTGAAAATCCTGCTTTGGATGGAGAGATAGGCATGAGACCGAACTCGACGAATTTTGACCCGAAAAATATATAATTTTATCGTATATATTTAGAAATAATTATAATAATATATTATTATATATTATTTTTTAATTAAAACATTATTTTTATTGAATAAAAAATAATACTTTTATTATTATTTTGGGTCGAATCGGGTTGAATTTTATCTCGAATAATATTATTTTTCAATTATTTAAAATATTTTTCAAAGTAAGTATTTAAATTTATCTTTTTATTCAAAATAAGTAACTAAATTATTTTTTAAAAAATAGGTATTCAATCTTTTTTTATCTAAATACCTAGAGTATTCTTTCATTAATATCAAGTAAATTTCGTGAAAAAATCAATCCTAAAAAAAAAAGAAGAGTTAAATGTAAATATTTTGATATTGATCTTATCATTGAAGTCAATTAGTGACTGATTGGTAATTAGCATTTGGCAACAAGTGAAAAAGGACAGTATCAAAAAATAAACTATTTAAAAGTTTATTGATAAAATTGATCCACCCCTAATATTCAATGCCTAAAACAACATTGTTTTAGGCATCAATAGCCGTACCAAAACAATATTATTTTGTCCATATCATTATACTGTATTGATTTTAAAGGTCAAATGATATAAATGAAGTCAAAACTAAAATTCAATGTTATAATTGAATAAATTAAAAGCTCAATTATATAAACGATACACTGCCTAAAGTTTAATGGTATCCACTGTAATTTAACCTTTTTATTTTAAAAATCCAAACTTTTTTTTAATAATAATTTTATAGTGTTATTAGCAAAGAACAGAGTGGAACACTTAATACCAGAGCAATATTTTTTCCCTTAGATTTTCAGCCGTAGGAAAAAAAACGGTATTACCAGAATATAGAGGAGGCACGACAAATGCTCCCAACTGTTGTCTTAAAAAAACACACCTCAATGACTGGTTTCCACACAACTTTGACAGTTTTAATCCTAAAATCCCTCACCATCAATTCCTTCACCAAATCCCAATTCTTCCATCATTATACGTTGTCTCAATTTCTTCGTAGCCAAGACTTTTAATTTTCTCCTTTCTGGTTAAGGCCACCCTCACTTGACCCCATCTCCCCCTTACAACAATGGGGAATTGTTGCTCTCGTAGCAGTCCCGCCGATGACGGCAACGGAAAGGGACACTCAGCGGTGGATAATGGAAACAACAATCCCGGCAGCAGTTCTCGAGCTGAGAATTCGAGGCATTCGGCCTTCTCCGTGGGTGGAGGGGACTCCTCCAAGCATTCCAAGTGTTCTGGAACCGGACCCGTGTTAGGCCGACCTATGGAAGACATCAAGGCCACCTACAACATTGGGAAAGAATTGGGTAGGGGACAGTTTGGGGTCACACATTTGTGCACTCACAAGCAAACCGGCGAACAGTTCGCTTGCAAGACCATTGCCAAGAGGAAACTTGCTAACAAGGAGGACATGGAGGATGTTCGAAGGGAGGTGCAGATCATGCACCATTTGACGGGCCAGGCCAACATCGTGGAGCTCAAGGGTGCTTACGAGGATAAACATTCGGTTCATCTTGTGATGGAGTTATGCGCCGGTGGCGAATTGTTTGATCGGATCATCGCTAAAGGCCATTACACCGAGCGTGCAGCTGCTTCTTTGCTGAGAACAATAGTTCAAATCGTGCATACATGTCATTCCATGGGCGTCATTCATAGGGATCTCAAGCCTGAGAATTTCTTGTTGTTGAACAAAGACGAAAATTCCCCCTTGAAGGCTACGGATTTCGGTCTATCAGTCTTTTACAAGCCAGGTTGAGATAATTTCCTCGGTTTACTAGGACTTGTTCGTATTTAATTCGATTCTTCCTTGTACATTTAATGATTAATTCTGTTTTTGGAACAGGTGAAGAATTTAAAGATATTGTTGGCAGTGCATATTATATTGCACCTGAAGTCCTAAAGAGGAGATATGGACCAGAAGCTGATATATGGAGCATTGGAGTTATGTTGTACATTCTTCTCTCTGGTGTTCCTCCTTTTTGGGCAGGTAACTTCTTCCATTGTCATTCCTCAACCTTTTCAACAGTGTCGGGAATTTTTGGTCGGACACAAAATCGACATTAAATCAACCCTCCAAGCTTCCGTCTCTCTTCTACCTTGATCACCAAGAAATCTTCTTTACTAAGATTTATTATTAAGAACATGTACTTCATTAATAACTTATTTCTCAAGTCACCACACCGGAACCCAAACTAAGATCATATTTTCCCTGATAGAATCCGAAAACGGGATATTCACTGCAATTTTACGTGGCCAAGTCGATTTCACGAGTGCTCCATGGCCTAAAATCTCAGCTCCAGCAAAAGACCTTATTAAGAAGATGTTAACTTTGGATCCCAAGCAGAGGTTAACAGCAGTTCAGGTTCTAAGTAAGTATATATATATATATGTCTAAGCTCAATGTTCTGTTTCTTAAAATTCAGCTATGGAGGCCGTGTTATATGCATGATTCTGATTATATTGTATGTCCATCAACAGAAAATCCATGGATCAAGGTGGACGGTGAAGCACCCAATACACCTCTCGACAACGCGGTGCTGAACAGGCTCAAACAGTTCAAAGCAATGAACCAGTTCAAGAAAGTTGCTTTAAGGGTATTAACAATTTAATGAAAGGTCTAAATGTTATACTACTTGAAGGAATTAGTCTCTGACTCGGTTTTCGACGAAATTGTTAGGTCATTGCGGGTTGTTTATCGGAGGAAGAAATCATGGGATTGAAGGAGATGTTTAAAGGCATGGACACTGACAATAGTGGGACAATTACACTTGAAGAATTGAGGCAAGGTCTAGCTAAGCAAGGAACAAAACTCTCTGAATACGAAGTTAAACAACTAATGGAAGCTGTAAGTCATTTCCAAGGACCAATTCCCATCATTTTTCAGTGTCAATAAGATAAACATTTGTTATTTTCTTCGAAAAATAGGCCGATGCAGATGGAAACGGAACCATAGACTATGACGAGTTCATCACGGCCACAATGCATATGAACCGAATGGATCGAGAAGAACATCTCTACCATGCCTTCCAACACTTTGACAAAGACAACAGCGGGTAACAATAGTGATAATATTGCAGCTAATTTCATCTTCTGCAATTCTCATTTGCTCAAGTACTTTATGTACATATATGGTTACCTTTTTCAGATTCATCACGACTGAAGAACTAGAGCAAGCTCTACGTGAATATGGCATGCATGATGGCAGAGACCTAAAGGAGATCCTTACTGATGTAGATACTGACAACGTAAGCAAATTATATATATATACACGCACACATAAACATATACACGTTTCGTTTTCAAACCAAATTCATTTCCATTTGTTTGAAAAAAAATCAATTTACAGGATGGAAGGATCGACTACGATGAGTTTGTTGCAATGATGAGGAAAGGAAACCCCGAATCGAACCCGAAGAAGAGGCGTAACGACGTATTCATCTGATTTTTGGAGGTGATCGAAGGAACTGGATCAAAACTGAGAAGGAAGGCATTGTGAATATTTCCTTGATTAGCAGCAGACGGAGAAGAGATGATGATAAGGAATTCTTGAGATCAAGGGCAATGCAGAATTTGTACATTACAAGCTAACAAAAGATATGACAACACTTGGAGATGAATATTGTTTAGTTACCTTTTTCTCCTTCTCTTTTGTATTAACATTGTAACCTTCTTACTAATAGTTGGGAGATTCAATACAATTCATCATGTCCCGAATTATGCGTTGCAATGTTATTTTATTTTTTTGGTTGGTTAGTATTTAATATTCCTTTTTTTCTATTGCAGTATATCATTTTTTATCTGTGATTACAGTAAATTCCTTTTACACAACAAATGGAACTCTAAGGAATAGGATACTTTGATCAACCCTAAATGGAAAACTTGTTGAAGAAATTGTAAATCAACATTTGGAAGTAAACAAGAAAAACAGTCTCGCATACATCAATAGACAAATTTTAAGAAGCAGCTGCTATTGTTGTAAAATTTGTTTACAGTTCTGTTGACGTCTTCAGCGGTGGCGGACGGCGCAGTTATTGTAAAATAGTGATCGCGCCACTGCTATGCAACCGCTACTTCACCAATGGCACCTTCATCCGATGAGACGTTTTGTGGCCGCCGAGTGCCTGACCATATCCGAACATCTTGCCACAAATCTCACACTGGTGCACACTTTTCACGGCCGTCCCTGGTCTGGGGTTCTTCATATGCTGGCAAAACAATTTCATAGTTGGGAAACGCTCTTTGCAGGAGAAACAAGCGAAGGTATCGTCGTCTTCGTCTTCGCAGTAAAAGCAAATGAAACGTCTTCTGAAGAGTGTTTCATGGCAGCTTTCAAGTATGGCTGATTACTATGAACGCAATAAGGATCCATACGCAAAGAAGAAAGGAGGATGATGAACAACGAACAACAGATGACTCTATCAGAACACGATGGATTCAAAGACGGAAGGGTTTGATTTCTAAAAGACTATATATATACATACATACATACATATATGAGAAATCTTAAGTACGATAGGATTCAATCCTGAGAAGGATACTCGTAACTCACAAGTTAAATGTCGGTCTGAGTATATATGTGAGGGTTTTTAATTTTGTCATTTTTTTAATTTAATAAATATTCAATATAATAATAATTTATTTATTTAATAATGATAATTAAATTTCATTATTTAATAATGATAATTAAATTTCATTAATAAAATGATGGAGTGAATTAGAATTACAATGCACTTAATTATAGAGAGAAAATTGAGACAATAATCATCAAAATACTCATATAAAAACAAAAATATTAAACATAAATATAAGAAGAAAAATGAAATCTTCATAAAAATTCTGTCTCTGTCGATGAGATGTTTTACGAAGTGATAAAGGAGTGGTGAGCGAATCAAAATATCTGGCAGACTGCTTCGTTACAAATTCTGATTATATTGGCAAATAACCTTTTACCAAAGAGAGGATATTACTATACGTGACAAATCAATCAAAAAATAAATGTCGTGATAGTTTTTTTACAAGTACTAAAACGAGCAAATGTATGCGAAAAACGTATCAAAAGCCACAAAGATCGTGCTACAAGAACAAAGAAAAACGTGTTACAATGACATATATTCTTATTCAAAATTTAAAAAAAACTCAAATAAATAAATAAGTGAAATAGTACAAAAAAAAAAGAAAACTAATAATCATCGATAGTCAATAACCAACGTTAAAATTAATTTCACCGTCCATTAAACAAAAATCAAAGAGAAAGAGTGAGACGGTACAAATATATTAAGAGAAAACTAAGTTAAAAGGAAAAAAATATTATTTATTATCTTTCTTTCATGATAAATTAATTTATAAGAACTTATATATACTAATTAAAATTAGAGTAGAAATCGTTAATTTAAACAACGCCCGTACTAGCAAAAAGCTATACAGTATATTGATAGGTTTGGTTTTCAATTTTATGTATATTTTTTTCATTTTGGCCTTAATTTTTTAAAAGAAAATAAATATAATTCTTGATCTTAATCGATTTTCATTTTCAATTTTTTTAAAAGAATAATTTAATATTTTTTAACACAAATATTTATTAAAATATTTATTTTTTAATATTATTGACATAGTATCTCACATGACAATCATAATATATTTAAAATAAATAGTATTATATAAACATAAATTATGTTGTGGACAGATCGGAAAAAAATCTGCTGAGATAAAAATGGGTTATACTTGGGAGACCTAGCACGTTACAAAGGTTAATATGGAGATGAAGACTCTAAATCACGAAAGCAACACTGCTTCAAGTTACTATTTGAAGGTAGGCACAAAGTATCCAGTTTACCATTTTTCTTATCAAATTGATGATACACGTAATATACTTGATGTTTGAATTCCGGCCCTCTAAAGAGAATAACATTGAGGGTCATGTCTGAATTGATGGGACATGTAGTTGAGAGATTTTTGCAGCTAAAGGATGTTTCAACAAGCTACACCTCACCGGCTATTCTGGCTGGCTTGCTGCCCAGATGTTGCAGCAGCTGACATTGATGTGGATGAGAATAAAGCCCGTTTCAAGAGAATTTTAGCTGCTGGGAGGGCTCTAGCTAATGTCATTAGGATTGATCAGAAAACTGTGTTTTTTTATTCAAAATTCAAGAAATTTGTTATTGGTGTTGAGCCTAGTGAAGATGTCACATTCAGGTCTTCTACCCCAAATGGTAGACGATTAATACTGGCAATATGCTGCCAATTCCACAACTTGGAATGATTGGTGAAGAAGACGATGATGAAGTGATTGTTTTCCAGCCATCTGTGAATGAGAAGAGAATCGAGGTGGTTGAACCAAATCGGCCTCCATCCGAGATTTCGAAACTCGTTCAAAGTAGTTCTTCTGTAGGTGACCTCAAATTCTATAGCAGTGCCATGTTTGCTCCTCTTGATAATCATTGCCATCATGATTCTTTTGATGCTACTCCACAACTGCCCTTATCTGTTGGTAGCATTCTCCCTCAGCAGTTGCAGCCTGTTCAGATGCAGGCATCTAGGTGGTCACTGAAGGATGCTACTTCACTGTCTAATCCGAAATTGATGCTACAGTATCATCTAGAGTTATTGCTGATGTTTTGCATTCTTAGACTACCTCACCTTCACAAGTTGGGATGCAGTAGAATCCGGTTAATGGTGTTGTTCGGCATCTTGGCCCCCCACCATGGTTAACCCTGTTTGTCAAAAGCCATCGAGTGAATCTGTTTCTGCCTCAGCTTTGGTAACCCCCAGTGATCGATGGTTATAGTTGGTCGGATGGATATCGGTTGGCATCTGTTGGGAAATAAACCAATAACGAGTAATTTCCCTATAACCAGATTAGTGAGAATGCGAAATAAAAGCGGAAAAATAATACCCGAAAAATTGATAACAAAGTTCAGCCAATTGTGCCTACGTCTCCGGACTGCTGCAGATCTTTTACTAAGAGAGAAAATTTACAGGTGTTTACAAAACACTCACTACTCACAAAAAAACTCTCTAGTATTGGGAGAAAGAAATGATTTGGGATGATTTTGAAGCTAAATGAGTTAGGGTATTTATAGTTGAAGCTTAGGGACTAATCTTATAAATACCCTAAAAATTGTAATAACTAAAGTTGCAATATTCCCATTTTTATTTCAACAATAGTTGCACCACTTTCGGTGCAGCACACCCTTTTTGAATTTGTTTGTTCATTAGGCGGTGCCTCCTTGACTTTACAATCTGCCACTTGAAGACTGATTTTAATATGTCTTCACACCTCGATCGATGCAACAGCATTTCTGGTCTTGTTACTCTAGCATGCCAACTAAAGCTGAACACAACTTCAGTTTGTTCGTGGTCACTGTCTTTGTCAACATGTCTGCCGGATTTTGAGCTCCACTAATCTTTTCAAGTTTCAAAATCCCATCTTCCAGAAGAGACCGAATAAAATGATACCGTAATTATATGTGTTTCGTCCTGTAATGAAAAGACGGATTCTTTGCTAGATGGATATCACTTTGACTGTCGCAATACAAGACATTGTTTTCTTGTTTCTTGCATAACTCTTCCAAGAAACTTTGGAGCAAAACCATCTCCTTGCTGGCTTCCGTAACAGCGACATATTCTGCTTCAGTTGTGGAGAGAGCAACTATCTTCTGTAGTTGAGAAACCCAAATCACTGTAGTACCTCCCAGAGTATAGACATACCCTGTAGTGCTCCTTCTGATGTCAACGTTTTCGGCTAAGTCAGCATCCACATAGCCTGTTAGTATCGTATCTCCACCTTTGAAACAAAGTGATTTGTTTGTAGTACCCCGCAGATATCTGAGGATCCATTTGACTGTTTCTCAGTGTACCTTGCCCAGATTATTCATGTACCTGCTAACAGCTCCCACTGCATGAGCAATATCTGGTCTAGTACAAACTATGGCATACATTAGACTTCCAATTGCTGAGGCATACGGCACCTTCACCATGTGTGCATGTTCTTCCTCCGTCTTTGGTGACTGTTCTTTGGAGAGTCTAAAATGAACACCTAAAGGTGTACTTACTGGTTTAGCATTTTGCATGTTGAACCTGGAGAGTACTTTGTTAATGTACTCAGCCTGTGATAACATCAAAGTCCCCGACTTTGTGTCTCTCTTGATCCTCATCCCTAGAATCTGCTTTGCAGCACCCAGATCTTTCATTGCAAACTGCTTCGACAATTTTTGATTCAAGTTTATAATCTCTTGCATGTCTGAACTTGCAACAAGCGTGTCATCAATATACAACAATAACATAATGAAGTTGTTGTCGAACTTCTTGATGTAGCAACAATGATATGCTTGGCATCTGGTAAAACCACTACTATCGAACTTCTTGTACCACTGTCTATGAGCTTGTTTTAAACCATACAAGCTTTTCTTCAACCTGCATACCAGGTTTTTCTTGCCTGCCTCTATGAAGCCTTCTGGCTGCCTCATATAGATTTCTTCCTCCAAATCACCATGAAGGAAAGCTGTCTTCACATCTAACTGCTCAAGATGTAAATTTTCTGCAGCTACAATTTTCAACACCAGTCTGATTGTAGACAGTTTTACATCTAG